AGGTTCTGGGATGTCCCCAAGGTGTAGGGGTGTCCCCAAGGGGGAGGGTGTCCCCAAGTGTCCCCAGGGGAGAGGGGTGTCCCCAAGGTTCTGGGGTGTCCCCAAGGGGGAGGGTGTCCCTAAGGTGGTGAGGTGTCCCCAAGGGAGAGGGGTGTCCCCAAGGTTCTGGGGTGTCCCCGAGGGAAGGGTGTCCCTAAGGAGCAGGGTGTCCCTTAGGTGACGGGGTGTCCCCAAGGGAAGGGTGTCCCCAAGGGAAGGGTGTCCCCAAGGAGCAGGTGTCCCTAAGGTGACGGGGTGTCCCCAAGGTTCTGGGGTGTCCCCGAGGGAAGGGTGTCCCCAAGGAGCAGGGGGTCTATACGAGGGGTGGCCCAGGTCCCCATGGGCTGCGGGGACACCCCTTGGTGGCCCCAGGGGGGTGGGGTCCCCTTGCGAGGGGGGTCCCCAGCCCCTGAGGCCGCCCCCCCGCAGGACCCCCGTGGTGAGGCACTACCGGGTGAGGAGGGACGAGCAGGGCTACGCCATCGACATGGAGACCCCGGTGAGGGACACGGGCTGGCCCTGGCGACAGGGACCCCCACCCCGGCCACCCCCGAGCCCCCCGGCTCACCCCGGGCACCGTGTGGGCACCAAGGGTGGGCAGCCCCCGGGAATCCCGCGAGCACCCAAGGGTGGGACCAAGGGGTCCCCAGGGGGCTGGGGCTCAAGGAACTGGGACCCCCAAAGAAGGGACAGGGACCCCCAGCTTTGGGATCCCTGGGAACCCCCACGAGACTGGGACACCCCAAGGGGCTGCAGCCCAGCGGGTGGGACCCCCCGGGCAGGGTCTGGGGGTGCCGGGGATCCCGGTGACCCGGGGCTGTCCCGGTGTCCCGGGCTGTCCCGGTGTCCCGGGGGTGTCCCGGTGTCCCGGGGCTGTCCCGGTGTCCCTGGGGTGTCCCGGTGTCCCGGGCTGTCCCGGTGTCCCGGGCTGTCCCGGTGTCCCGGGGGTGTCCCGGTGTCCCGGGGCTGTCCCGGTGTCCCGGGGCTGTCCCGGTGTCCCTGGGGTGTCCCGGTGTCCCGGGCTGTCCCGGTGAGGCGGGGCTGTCCCGGTGTCCCGGGGCTGTCCCGGTGACCCGGAGGTGTCCCGGTGTCCCGGGCTGTCCCGGTGACCCGGGGCTGTCCCGGTGACCCGGAGGTGTCCCCGGTGACCCGGGGCTGTCCCGGTGTCCCGGGCTGTCCCAATGACCCGGGCTGTCCCGGTGTCCCGGGGCTGTCCCGGTGTCCCGGGCTGTCCCAATGACCCGGGCTGTCCCGGTGTCCCGGGCTGTCCCAATGACCCGGGCTGTCCCGGTGTCCCGGGCTGTCCCGGTGTTCCGGGCTGTCCCGGTGTCCCGGGGCTGTCCCGGTGTTCCGGGCTGTCCCGGTGTCCCGGGGCTGTCCCGGTGACCCGGGGTTCCCCAGCTGCGCTGCTCGGCGCTGCCGGAGCTGCTGCGGATCCTGGTGCGGAGCAGCCGGGGCAGCCTGCGGCCCCTGGAGCGGGGTGGGCACCGGGCGGGGGGCTCGGGGGGC